TTTAGTTTAAAAATTTAAAAACTAAACAGCCTACAGTATTTTTACAGTCTATTTTACAGTTAAAATATTTGTTTATCAGATAAAGTCTAATGTTACAACTAATCAGGAATCCCTTTAAAGCAGGCTGCTGTGTTTGTGGGCGTGGCTTTGGTTCTGCAGACCATCAGAATATTCTGCTACTGGATCACAGCTTGAAGCTGTATAAACTTATCTGTGTTTGTTTGGGTGGGAGGTCTGCATGTTTTAGTGTTGCAATGTTTTTCTTATTTTCATGTGACAGCCTTCAGATTCAGGCCTCATTTGTCAAAAACACAAATCATTGATTTGTAGGTAAAAGATTTAAACCAGTGGTATTCAATTAAAATTCACTGAGGTCAAGCTGCTAAACTTTCCTCCTAGTAAAGGTCTGAAAAAAAGTCTGACTTTTGTCTTTTTATGGTATTACTCACAGGACTTAAAGTTCTGCGTCGCCACGCTGGATTTCCGTGACTTTGAACGTGGCCAGGACGGATTTCCGTCATCTGTAAGGGAGAAAAAAACAACAACTCTGGTTGTTTTCTGTTCCGGTGATGTGCGAAATTCAGTTCAGTTCACTGGTCCAGCTTTAACGTCAGACAAATCCTAAATGGTTAATACGAGGGAAGCGCACCCAACACAGGGGGAACAGATTTTCATAGGGGAGCTGAATTTCGTACACCGGTCTTGTTAAAGCCGCCCAGTCTACCCCTAAACACGCCACTACTTTCAACAAATCAAACAAACCCCAGAGCTCTTTTATCCAATCAGAGCAGAGCAGGGCAGGTCAGTAAAGCAGCAGGTGAAGCAGTCTGCAGGAGCAGCACAGCGGTCAGTCCTGAGTGAGTGAAACCTCTCCTCCCTCATTTCACTCCTTGGACTTTGGTCTATAAAACTTAACTTTATATTAAATATTTGTGCTCAGAGCACCGTTATCCAATAGATATGCTCAATGATGTGACAAGCTCCTCGTGCAAAGGATGCGTGCAACATGCAACATTCAGTTTGTTCGTCCATCATGCTTTTGCGCTCCTATCCTACAACATTTCACAAGTTATAAAGTTTTCTGCCACATGTCATATTTTACTACAGTAACATAAGCGCCAAATATAAACCCCTCCATCGCTGGTGAGGATGTGCGCCTTCTGCGCCAGTACCAAGACGAGACGTGAACCGAGCCGAGACTGCCTGGTGCGCCGCGGCGCGTGCACGTTGTGAGTCAGATTCACTGTTCACTGACAAACATTTTTTTTGGCCCATAATGAAGCAAAGATGAATCAGCATTTAACATTTACCTCCTCATCCTCACCAGGAGAACACCACCATGTTCTCCAGATCAGCGTGTTTCAAATGTTTCTGTAGTTTATCATAAGTGTGCAACTTTCATTCTTCACTTCTTGTTTATATTTAGAACTAGAACCATACTGTGACAGAACTGCTCTGTGATAAATTTAATTCAATAAATGATCAAGTATGTAGAATAAACATTATTAAATGATTACATGTGCTTGAACAATTTAAATAACTTTTTAATAGTAATTTTAAAAAATAAATCAGTCTAACTAAAGAAAATGTATTTTCAAGTTATATTGTTCTGTGCAACGACAGATACTTGCTATAATTTTAAAATAAATAATTAGGATTTGTCTGGTTAAATAAATGTCAATAAATCAATCTGTCCATCCATCATTAGTGTTCTAAACAGTTCCAAACATCCATTTATCCGTTTTTCATAATAAAAGCTGACAAAACTGACTAAAGTTATTTTCTTTATGTCACCATTGTTTGGCACAGTTAGTTTATGTTCTGAAGGCTGCATGACGTCATGTCAGTTTGTTATGAGTGTACCTGTCATTAAATCAGGCAAAGAAAGGCCTACTAAATTCACTGTTGGTGGTTATCAATATTTTACCTGTTTCCTGGGTTTTTAATGTTCTTAGTTTTAAACATGCAGTTGAGGCTCATCATTGCTTGGCACAATGACGTGTTCTGTTACAAATAAAACTAAAATCAAGAATAAACAATATAAACGTAAAACGATTCTCTAAAATCATTGTTTGTGATAAATTGTGTCACATTAATTTCATTATAGTGGGTATATCAGTGAGTTTAAACACAAGATGATGCAACTAATTAAATGAATAAACTGTCTCTAATTTAGTTATTTAATCAAGTGTTTTTATGTAGGTAGGTAAAAGTATGTTTAGGAACCTGGAAAATACACCAGATTGCAGGAAAATGTATCTACTAAATTGAAAATTTTCTGGGGAAGACCCCCAGACCCTCACACTAGTGAGCCCTTCACACACATAATGTTTCTGATGCTCCTGTTAACGTTAGAGAGAATAAACCAACACAGAGCACCACATGTGTACCTCTCTGTTTTTGAAAGCCCTAACCTCCACGAGAGAGAGAGAGAGAGAGAGAGAGAGAGAGAGAGAG